AGAGACTTGGAAATTGATTGATCGTTAATCCATTGAGTCATTTTGGCCTACATGCATGATTGCGCCGGAAGGAGCACTAAATTTTTGTTTTCTACTCATTGTTCAATTACATCAGATGTGCGGGTTAAATATTTAGCAACAGAAAAATATTGCTAAAAATGAAACAAATGGTGGGATATGATGAAACTCTAATGAAAACATAGACTACATAATGAACAACATTGTCGTCAAATTATTTGACGAAAAGCAAAAAGTTCTACATTAATAATTTTAAAAGGTCATATTCTTTCAATTTTAAAATAATTCATTTGATTTAAATTTTCATTTTTAATAAAAAAAATGTATTATAAATGAGAATTCCAAATTGAACTATCTTTCAAAACAAAGATAATGTAAGACCTGATGAAAAAGCTTTGCACATTTTGAATTGTACCGGACCAAGGCCGGTCGGTGACGAACAAACACCATATGTCGAACCTGCGAGAAACGACGGCCATCACATGTCGTGTTTGCACTTTTAGGTTAATTAATATTAATCATTAATACAGATCTTAGGATCGGACATTTCCTCCATGTAGCACTTTGCAGCAATAATATTCCCCAAAAAATAACACCAATATTTTTATAAAGCAAGACGTTTCTCTTGATTCTAATTGGCTCTATGTTTTATACACATAGGGAGTAAGTAAGAAACCCTTTTTGACAGGGATAAATCTAGGGGGTGAAAATACCTTTTTAATATTTTTATACATTTATTTTCAAAAGAAAAATCTATGTGTACTTGAACCAGTAAATGTATGTCTTAATTACATCACTGATAACCATACATAAATGAAAGTATAACCATACATAAATACAATCTGAATTCGGTATAACATGCCATGCATGAATGTAAAGTATATACTCCCTCTGTCCTAAAATTATTGTCCAGTTTGAAATTTCACTTTTAGTACAATTTGAACTAGAAATGAAAATCCAAACTGGACAATAATTTTGGGACGGATGGAGTACTATATTTTATTTTGATATAATGATAATCACAACCATATTCTTAATTTTTCTTTAGTGGCTATTTTCTTGTGCGCCGACACTTCTACATCATACTTAATTTGCTGCAATTGTCCAATTTTTAAATATTTTAAATGCAATAAACCGAACAATTGTTTAGAACAGGGAGATGAAAAAAGAGAGTGCTAGTAGAGTTTTAAATTCTAATAAAGATTAATCAACCCTCCGAGGTGAAGGGGAAAACATCAATCTCCTTTGGTCATCAAGGATGACCAGTAAATTAATTACGGGTTACCACCAAAAGCCAACAAGGTCAATACTTGGTTAATCACAAAGAAAAACACTTTGTAATCACAATTTAATTAAGGCGAGTGGATCGTTTTCAATTCAGGGCGTGAAACTGGACACCTGCATCATCATACTTGTGACCGGTTCCCTTTCACATTCGTCACCAAACAATGTTGTAACTGATACTTGAATAATTCTCTGAAAAAATTGTCCTGCCTTGTCCTTACGTTTACATTTTCCTGAAATGTGAATATTTCTAGTAAAATGCAAAAAGAAAAGGAAAAAAGTGCATTGGAAAACTTGACGGCGTCCCATCATGTATCCACCGACATAAGCTGATCGGAGGATTCGACCACTAACCAATTCTTCTCATAATTAAAGTATACAATTCTTTTCGTCTCAAAAATAAAATAAAATTCATATGTAATTAAGCGTCTAGCCCATATCTACCAATTGTGTATTTAGAGATAACTAGAGGGCGTAGACGCCCTTCGCGCCTTCGTAAATTTGTGTAATAATAATTATATCGGAAGAAAAAGATGAAATTTCAATTAAAAAAGATAAAATTGATTGTCCTTTGATTGCTAATTTCACTGTCTAAAATAAAACAAACAAAGTACTCTTAGCAAATTCAATAAAGGCAAACAATATTTTTTGTTAAATTTAGTGTACGCATAAGTAGTATATCAACTTTGAACAAAAAGGAAACAAAAAATAGTCATACAAAATGAACAAGGGATTCAATTGATTTATTCATCACAACTAAAAGGAACGGCAACTAAACCAACGAAAAGATAAAAGGCTATCAAAGATGAAAACTGCAATAATATATCGTTGTAAAGGATTTTTGTGATATTTTATTATACTTTTTTAAAAAAGAGTGAAAACTAAATTTCAGAAGAAAAAGAGGATGATGAACAAAAATTAATTATTATTTACCTTTAAGGATTTTAGATGAATACATCACGATGTACAGAGAACAAACGCATTCGAAGTGAAAGAAAAAAGAGAGAATGACAAAACTCTCATGATTGAAAATTATACATATCCACAAAATTTATTTAAGATATAAAACTCGGCAAATTATCTGGTACACCCGGGGGCACCGTGTACTCCCCTGCCCGTGTACTTTACTCTCTTAGAATAGTGTGAGCTCGCTAGATAATTCAGCTTTTTTTTTTTAAACCTTCTGTGAATAACCAGTGTGCACACTATGGATAACTAGTTAAACATAGCTGGATAACCAGTGTGCACACTATGGATAACCAGCTACACACTATGGACAACCAGTGTTCACAATGTGGATAACTAGTGTTGGCAATATGGATAATTAGTTATACACAGTTGGATAACCAGTATTGACAATATGGATATTAGTTATACACAATTGAACGAACCTTATTTCTATCATTTGGCAAACTGCCCCTCATTCATTTTTTGTTCTCCATCATTTGGCAAAATACCCCTCATTCAATTAAATACTATTTATGAAAGTGTTCGGCAGGGGGCGTGGCGCAGCCGGGTCGTTTAGTTTCTCACTGGGGGATTTATACAAGTAATTTGTGTCCTCTCTTAACGCAATAACACACTTTCCTTACACACACATGGAAAAAGGATTATCTTAGCTAAATTAGCGTGTTCGGCGGGGCGGCGCAGCCGGGGCAGGTTGGTGACCTGCGATTCCGGTAGCCGCGGGAGTCGTTTAGTTTATCATGGGGGGGGGGGAGGGGGGGCGAAACCCCCCAAGTAACATGTCGTTTGCTTCTTTACCTCTGGATAACCAGTTTACAAGTTGTGGATAACCAGTTTACACCTTCTGGATAACCAGTTTACAACTCGTGAATAACCAGTTTACGCCTTGTGGATAACCAGTTTACGCCTTGTAGATAACCAGTTTACACCTTCTGGATAACCAGTTTACAACTTGTGGATAAATTATGGATAACCAGCAATTGTGTGTGTTTGTGCGTGAGGATGAAAACAGTAAAATAGGTGAAAACAATTTTGTTTGCGCATTTAATGTAAATGTGAAAAACGTTGAGCGCGTGTAGTGCGTGTGTTTGGTGGGGGTATACGGTATACTCGAGTGCACTGGATACGGACTCTAAAACTCTGCATATTATTTTTTAGTTATAGATTCCTCAAAAGTCTCATTTATTTAATCATGAATTTCAAAAAAGAAAAGGCAATCAAGAATTTGGAATATTAAGTGTTGTTGAAACTTATAATGGTTATGTGACTTATAATAGTTATGTGTCTTTTAACTACTTTTTACTTCTCTACAAAAAACTCAAATTCCACACACACACAAAGAAATGATACAAGAATAATGCAAAAAAAAAAAAAGATAAGTAAAAACTTAAGTTAATGCATAAGAAAGGACTATCAAACTACAAAAACACATTCTGCAATTATATATAATGTTGAAAAAAAGTTAAAGATTAATTGGAAAAATTAATAAAGATTAAAATTATTAAAAAAAAAAGAAAAGAAAAGAAAAACAGCCTGCTGCCGGAAAAAGAAAAGTAAAAATTATCCCAAATTTGAGTGGGGGGATATTTTGGAAGAAGATTGTTAATTCTACCAAATAACATCCCAAACAAATATAGAGTAAAAGAACACAATTGCCCATCTTAACAAGATCAGTTTACCATCATCATCTTCCACCTCACACCAGACCTCCAGAAAACCACATTCCTCCTTCACTTAGCGTCACAATTCATCTAACCTTGCTAAGGACTTGTAAATGTCTTGGATTAGTTCTTTATTTCTGACTTAGATCCAAAGTCAAAACAAAGATGTTGCCCACATCACCATTAACGATCTGCGACTTATTTTTAAATTCTTTGAATCACACTTTTTATTATTGTCAATTGATTTTGAGACAAGATCCTAAATAACTTCAAGAGAGGAAATTTATTTTCTGGAATGCGGTAAGGTCTAGAGAGTTACAGATGTGTAAATTGAATTCCACTGCTCCACCACCCTTAAAGCCACAAGGATCAATCCAATTTATCGTGAATTGCTGTCCAAAGATAAGGTAAGGTAAAAAGCATGTTGATTTTGGAAAAGGAAAATAACGACGATCTCTGATTTGTAAGATGGAAGAAAATCAAAAAGAATAAAAATTTATCAGAGAAAGGCTTTGATATGAGTATAAATAGCTGCACATTTACGTTCAATGTTTGCATCAAAGAGTTTGGAATTGGGTGATTTTTTTTTTTAAAAAAATACTAAAATGTTTTTAGCGGTGAATTTTTTTTTTGACCGAAACGTTACAAACAATTTATTTAATCTCTTCAAAACTAAAAATATTCGTCCCAACAGAATTACTCTTCTTTCTTGAACGAGGAATCGTAAAACCAAAGGTCTCTATGAGGCTGGCGAAGCGAGAAGAACAATTTTCAAATTTCTTACTTTTCTTCTTGTTTAGCAGTGGCCGGGGGATGGGGCGGCTGAGCCACAATGGGTAATTGTATATTTTTACTCTAAATTTGTTGGGAATGTCGTAATTTGATTCGGTAAAATTTATTAACCTTTATTAGAAGAAAGTTAGCAAATTGTTTTGGGTGTTGATATTTGTTTTGGCAATAATAATGAAAGCCTTTCTTTAAACATATGTAACAAGGATCATCCATCATCATCATCATAATTAAAAGACACCATAAACATTTGGATTAACAAACTTACTCTAATCTGTAGTCTATAAATCCTTTACAGTTCACCTAAGGGCTCAAGTTGAAAAGAACAGTAAAGAAAACTATTCCCCGCATTGCATATGTTTTTGTCACTCAATTTTCATAGACTCGATAATTTGTCTGCCATTTATTTTGCCACCAAAAAACTTTTGCAGATAGTCCGCATATTTTATTGTCTTATATTTAGCTCCATTCTCTTTCAGAAGAGCCGGTAAAGGACCGATGATTGCTTCATCAGCTGGACGATGCAATGCCGCGATGGATATCCTTTCTTTCTGGGAATTCACTACGGCTCTATGTTCAATGCTTTCATACTCCCCATTACTCATTATCTGCAATACAAAAATATCGAAAACCAATGCCAAAAAATATTACATCAAATTTTATTTATTTTTAACTACTGCATTAGAATATATAATATGCACGGATATTAAGAACATAATGATTGAGAGCATATATAATGAATTTTAGCTTTTAACTAAACATTTTGAAACTATACAAGAACTATAATTTGAAGTAAAAAAAAAAAATAGTTGTCCTTAATGTATGTTTGTAAAAGTAGAGAGATACGGATGAAATTAGCCCAAAAAATATATTTAATGTTGCATTGAAAAATGAGGTGTAACAGATAACAAAAAAGGTTAAGTTTTACTCTAATTAATGCGACAAATAAAAAAGAACGGAGGTTGTACATGATAAAAACGCGGGATTTAGTGATCAGAATATTGACTCAATTTATTTACCTCCATGAGATCACCGGTGTTCACGACGATGGCTCCGGGAAGAAATCTAACAGGAACCCATTTGCCATTTTTGCGAATTTGGAGGCCATCCACTTCACTGGCTTGAACCAGTAAGGTCAGTAGAGTTACATCAGAGTGTGGAGTTCCACCAATAACCTTGTCAGGATGGGGACAAGGTGGATAATATGTCGTTCTTACCGTTTGTTCAATTTCATCCTGCATGCAGGCCAATTCCCTGAATTCCACCCCAAGATTTTTCGCCATCAATTCACAAACACTAGTGCAGATTCTATGCAACTCGAGCGTGTATTCCTCGAAGTTTGATCTGATATATAATTAGTAGTATAACTAAGTTAGCCTTCAAAAACTTCATGTGCAAAAATGTGTATAAGCTTTCGCGTTTTTTTTTTTTTAAATTTTTTTTTTACGTGAATAGATGGAACCTGAAAGAGGGAGGATTTTTAGGCCAATATCTCATATTCCTTGAAGACTCCGGAATAGTACAAAGGAAGAGCATGTCGTTCCAGTCGAGTTGTTGATCCTCTTCTGCCACCACTTGACCATATCCTTCAAGACTGCCTGGAATTTGTGCATACACCATCTTCTCCTCCAATGGAAGCTTAAAGAATTCATGTATATCCACCTTCATTTTCTCGATTGTTGCTGTCGCTCCATGATTAATCAACTGTTGTGTACGAATATTTATGAATGATCAGATCCCAATTTATATGTCAGCTTAGTTGCAACACACTATAAATGATGAAAGATAGAGACCGATGGTGAAAAAAAATGATTGTTTGATATTATTCCTTCTTTCCCAAAATTATCAATCAGTTTGGATTTTCACTTTTTGTTTAATTTTTACTAAAAATAAAAATCCATACTAAACAATAATTTCGGGACAGAGGGATAGTAATTTTTCGTACCTGAAAATATCCCCATTCCTTGCAAGCCTGATGAAGTCTTGACATTTCGGTTTGATATTCGGCGTTTCCAGCTGCAAGCTTGCTCATATCAATCACTGGAATCTGTGATGACTCGTTGACCGAAACTACATCCGCATGAATTTCAGGTCGGATGTACCGATTTGGGATATCTTTTAGGGTTTTGGAAGCTAGTTCTTGCACGTTTGGAACTGGAAAGTTTTTAGCGTTGTTAACACTTGCTACCTCCATTGATGGTGAATAACGTAGCAGAACCTAACAACTTGTTTTGTCAATGCACTTTTTTTCCCCCTCTTTTTCTCCTTGAGTTCACAACAGTCAAGAGGTGATATTTATAGTGTCATTTCGAGTGCCATTCTGCTGATTTGAATGGTTTCGAATCAGATTCTAGCACAGTGACACCGTGACAGAGATTAGAGGTTTTCTTTTTTTTTTTCCCCGCAACTTGCATGCATTGCATTTTCGTTTTTGGAAACTAGTTCTTGCACATTAGCAGTCAGAACTGGACGGCATTATTGTTTTCTATTATATGGCCTGCCCTAATTAATCTCCATTGAGGAATAATGTTTAAGAGCCTTTGAAAAGATGAACAAGTTAGGACGGTACCTATAGCGTGTTGCATGCCCAGTGATGTAAAGCAGTCGGATTACAGATTATTTTTAAAGTAATATTTTTTATCATTAATTGAACAGTTAATTTTGGAATAAAAAATGATTTAGAAGACGGACATAGTCAACTAGTAGTATTATATAACTTAGAATATTCGTCCAGTTACATGCTGTTGAATCAGCACAAACTAAGAACACATAAATAAACAAATGTCAAACTGATTTTTTCTTGTTGGTTGAATCAGCAGAGCCAAAATGTTATTATAGGTAAGACTGTATTAGCCAAAATGTTGATTGATTAAACAAACGACATAGACATATTCAACTTGCATACATTTACTCTAATTTCTGCCATTCTGCCACATACTGTCTTTTGCATCGTTGAACCAATTATTTGACAGTTGCCTCTCAATTTATGCCTTGGAAAATGCCCAGCCAAGTTTGCTTTAACATGCTGTAGACAATACCGGTGGACTCACATCTTTGGATATTTTTGCAACATGATGTCCAAAGCTGTAAGGATACCCTGATGTCGATCAGAGATAATACACGTCTTCCTGTTCTGTAAAATAAACTTTTTCAAATACTTCAAGAACTATTTCCAACTGTGTATGGTCTCGTCATCCACTAGAGCAAACGCGATGGGAACAATTTTGCTATTTGCGCACTTCACACATGCCACGATTAGTTTTCATTTGTAGGGTCCTCGGAGGTGGGTAGCATCGATGGTTATTACTGGCCAGCAACCATGAAATAATTGTATAGATGGCCCATATGCCTAGACAACATACCTACATACATACCTTTGCAAGCTTTCTGATTTTTTCTTAAACTTGAATCGCACACAGGTGTTTGGGTTTGCTATGACCAATACATCAAGGAAGCTGGGTAGTTGTTGAAAATTACTTTCTCATGTACAATAAAGAGTCTGAAGTGCTTTTCTCCTACTATGTCATTCCTTCTTGCAGCTACAGTCGACATTTTACCTCTTGAAAACTTCTAATTAAATTTGGGCGACTTTGAAATCTGGATTTTTTCTCACATTCTGGGCAACAAGTCGAGCAATCATAGAAGATGTCATGTTTCGGGCCTCGTTTTTCTTGTTTGCCCCGAGACAGTTGTGGGAATCGGACCATACCACCATTTTCCAAGTTTCGGTGTCCTTCTGTAGTGAAGATCGTGCCTTCCACGGGCAATCATAGTCGTGAAAACGCTCTTTCGGATATTTGGGCCCACAGGTCTTGCTTTTAACATACCATGTTCGTTTAAAGCTAGTTTTCACCCAGAAAGTCCAACCAGGTAGCAAGTTCCATTCTCCCACCGCCGCCTGTGCCTCAAGCTTTTTGGTGAAATGTACATCAAGGTCAACCGTCATCGCGTTGCCGTCCCACATTTTTATCCCCGTCAGAATCTTCGTGCTCTAAAGTCTTGTCCCATCCATTGATGTCGTCGAAAACATAAGGTTCTGAAGAAGATGCATCAAGATCAGTAAGGTAACCTGGGACGGGCAATGAACCCATTCGGGCGAACATGTACCCGAGACGGGTTCATTGCTCGGCCGGTCCCGGTTTGGTCCGATATGGTGAACCGTATCGGTCAGGCCCTTTTTTTTTAAAATTTTTGTTTTTTTAATTAAAAAATAACAATATTTGTTATTTAAAAAAGTCTAAAAATTAAAAAATATCAATCGAATTCATTGCTATTTTTTTTTAATTTCTATATTTTTTGTTATAATTAGTTAATCTAGTTTTTAGGTCATTAAATTTATTAATAATTTATTATTTGAGTTACATTAAGTATTACCAATCTTTGTAGTACAAAAAATAGTTAATCTATTTGCACATATTTGTCACAATCTTTGTAGTACAATTATTATTTTTCATTATAAATGTATAATTATTATTTTAACTAAAAATTATCTTTAAAATAATGATTAAAGTAAAATTTATATTTTAATATCAACTCAAATAAATTAACTTAACAAATCATCTTAAATTTGTTTTCAAGTAAAAATTAATTACTTGTTTATTTTCAAGTAAATATAAAATCGAGAGTTTAAGCACTAAAGAGTTTAAATATTGTTAATAATATTTAAAGTACGAAGTATTCAACATGTAACGATACTGCGAATAAACTAACATTAAAATAAAAATTAATAATTTGTCCATTTTTACGTGAATCGGACCGAATGACTTGCCTGATTCGGTCCGAGTGACAGAGGCAAAAGGGAAATTCTTCAAAATTAGTAACTTTAAATACTAATTTGGGTGGCTGGAAAAATCCACTCCCTATATTATTACCTGAAATTTTACGCCACGGAATTTTTACAGCAATAAGTTGACTAACCAAATCCAGTTTTCCTCACTCCTCATTCAAACAAATCTTGGGCTTCATTTTTAAGGATCCCGCGAGATTTGTTAATGGAATAATTGAACAAATACTAAAATGACAATAACGTTCACATATATGAATCCAAATTCAATCAATTATAAGGAAAAGGATTCAAAACAGAAAAAACAAATCTGAAAAAATGTAAATGCCCACCTGTAATTGAGACTTCAATGAAGCAGCTGCTGATACAGCCACCACATCTCTTGATATAAATCTGCTACTGAATCTGAAAAAACGTCGAATTACCTGGGTTAGATTCTACCCTGAGAGAGGAGAGAAAAATTTTGCACTGCTCTCAAAGCCCCCAAGCATTGAATGGTGAAAGTTTTAATTCAAATTAAACGCAATTCATGTCAAACGGGGAAAAAAAAGTACTACTTACAGTGGATGGCAATTGAAGCTCCGAAAGAAAAAAAGTGAGATGGCTGAAATTCTTGAAATATATAGAAAACTCACAGGGGTTGAATGATGGTGAAACAGAGAGGATAGCGTGAAAGAGAAAAATGTTTGTTCAAAGGAGAGAAGTATATCTCTGGTAATCGGATTTGTAGAAAGTGGTGTAAATTCTCTTTTTATTATGGCTCCATTATTTCGCATGCAGGCTAGTTGGTTCACGCATAAAACAGTGGGATTCGCTTCAGCTTTGGACTGTAACCACTCTGAAAAGTGGCCTCTGGGCAAGTAGTAATAAAATACTGTTTGACAAGAAATCACACTGCCATCTGCCGAGCCTAATAAGACTAATACTATTATTGAACGTTTGTTGAAATTTTTAAATAATCATATTATGAAATTAATATGTACTCTCATCTGTTCTACAAAGATGATTATCTTTGCATGATCATTGGGCTACTGTGAGTAGACACTTTTTCGCAGTATTATTGATTTCAACATGAAAATCGTGGAGATATTTCATTAACTGTTGGTGGACGGAAAAATTGGCCGATTTACCCAAAGGTTAACATGCATTGTCAATTTTATTCTATTCTTTTTTGATTAGTCAATATTACCATAAGCTATCCAACCGTTAGCTGATTTTGTCCAATTGGTCAATTTCTGTTTAAATTAATGGAATTCTGTTAGTTTTAATTGTAAAAAATACCCTAATAGTTTTGAAAATTATAAAAACAACCCAAAAAATATGTAAAAACAATCAAACAGTCTTTTTACACTTTTTATTTAAGTTTTTCTATTTTCTATTTATTTTTATTATTTCTCATAACTATAAAAATATATTATGTGATCTTTTTAAAAAAACTATTTATTTTTAAACATTACTGTACAAATTTATAGATATGTTTATTTGTAACTCATGGTTGATTTACATAAATATATTAATTTTTTAATAATATAACTTGACAATAATGATATTATTTTTTTTAATCCTTTTTTCAATTTAAAGAATAATATTTTTTTGACTAAAAACTAATTTTTTTACAAAAAAAGTAAAACATTTAGCATAGATTAAAAATTAATATATTAGTACATTTTAATTTATTACAAATTGAATAAACAAACTATAGATTGTATTATCCAATTCAAAAAATTTCTAAACTAAAATATAGTGTACAATCTAGTGTTTAGGATGTTGAGCTTCATGATAATAGATATAAGATTAATTCTCACCAAAGATTTTTAACCGGGAGAGTTATTTTATCCACATTTATGCATGGTTTACTAAAGGTGAGAGGATTGAGTTGGATGGGCAGACGATTTAAGATGAGAGATGATTATTAGTGTGTTCGATGCCTCAATTCTCACTGGAGCGATCTTTTTTTTTTTTAAAGGTGGAGTCCAGTATTGGAGCGAATTTTTTTTATTATTATTAAAAAAAAAATTTCCTGCTAAAGTTAGATGTTAATATCTCAAAAAAATTATCACGAAATGTTAAACTCTCGCAATGATAAATAAACATATTTTTTATAAAATATTTTGTATCATTTTTTTACTTTCTGTTTGTACTTGGCCTTTTAAAGAAAATGTATATTTTAGTTCAATTATTTTTTTAATTTTACAATACAATCTAAATTCTGTTGAATTATATTGTAATAATACATTAAAGTATACCAATAAAAAAATTTTAATCTATGCTAAATGTTTTATTTTTTGTGCAAAATTAGGTTTAGTTAAATAATTTTATTTTTTAGATTGGAAAAAATAGACTAAAAAATAATATCATTATTGTTAAACCATATTATTAAAAAATTAATATGTTTATGTAAATCAACCATG